TCCCAGCCCAGAGGAAGTGAGCTGCGCAGGAACCAACAGCAAACCCCCCGTCCCCCGTCGAAATGAGAAGACAGGTAAACAAGTCTCAAGACCAGGCTTCCAGATCACCTACAGCAACACCAAAGGGAAACGAGATGGAACACTCTGATACTCAACCACCTGGACTCCCTGAACTGGCAGGAATACCCTGTGGGAGACCAGGTGGGAAGAAGGAGGCCTAATTGGTCTCCTCCGCCCCCGCACTGAGGAGAAAGAGGACATGCAAGTGTGCTGACACACCGCAGGGAAAAGTGAAAACACCTGAGGTTAACTTGTTTACCCGGAGAAGGACGGTGGAGGCGGGAGACAGACGAGTCCTGTGTGACTCTGATTGCTCGTTCCCGTGTCTGAGTGAATAAAGCCAAGGCGCCAGTTACTCAGGGAGACAAGAGCCCCCGCCCTCCAGATTACAGGCTGCTTGCCACAATACTCCTTTCAAATCTTAAGAATTTTATCAAATTATTGTAAACAGAGCTTTGAGGAAAATGGCCCAAACGATTTGCTTTTGCTTTTCCCCAATAGTGCTTCTAGAACACAATGAAAAATGAATTTAAGTGATACTAAGAATAAAAATGACACTAAAATTTAAACACTACCTGATTGATGGACAACCTACTCAGATAGTGGTGCCTAAATTGCTTTGAATTATGTCATGAGAGAAGTGGAGATGTACTGGTGTTAGGTGTCCACGAAGTAAGGGTCAAGTGGCACAACAGTTTCACCTTGGATCAGGAGGGGCTTTAGGCAGAGCCCAGGACCTAAAGGCTGAAACCGCTTAGCAACACTGAACACAAATGGAATGGTTAAAGGAAATAGTTACACCCACAATGGTGAAGAGTTAGACTTGGTAATCTTCAGATGCATTCCAGTCTGAAATCTGTTTAATATGTACATAGGTAAAACATTTATAAATTGTAAAATATAAAGTTATACTACAGTTAAAAGCTTATATATTGAACTACATACCTTTCTATTTGCAGCCAATTACCACTCCAATATAATGTTTCCTTTTATATAAATTCATTTATTCCTTTATTCATTTCAAATATGTGATGATGTAACTATAAAAATAAACATTTAGCTATTCTGAATAACTCCAAATAGCAAATAATTTAAAAATAACTTCCACTTGACTTTGGAATCTATTACATGTATTGTTTTTCCAGAAAATTTACCTCATAATTATGTTGTGTGAGAGTGAAATGAGTTTCTATTTCAAACTCACGCATTGAATTCTGACTGCTGGCAGACAGGAGAAGCAACCAGGGTTAACATTTGCCATGTTACTACAGATAAGCAGGATTGATCGCCTGTGTCTTTAACCCTGGATTTGTTCCCAACTCTTGCAAGTCCAGGTTACCATCTACTGTCTTGTATTTTCTTTGGATTCTAACATGCTCTTTCCTTCCCTTTTGCAAAGCTTTTACACTGTGTGTACCCTTTGTAGGATTTGTCCACCATACCTACTACGAGCAGCACCTTCTGTTTCTGTGAAAGTCACCTCTTATACGCCAAAGGTAGGAAATGTTTTAGAGAGAGAACCTTACTGTGCTTACTGTATTTACAAGGTATTATTTCGTATGAATAATGGTAGCCCTCTCCCTCAAACCTTCATCACAACTGAATTCAGTTCGGGTCAGCCTAGGTAAAGATTCCTTTAAAGCCTGTTTTGCTTACTGAGTTTCCCACTGGACTGGTTGTCATTCACCATTAGAACCTTGACTACCCCTCACGCTATTCATCTTATATATTTGCTCTCTGTTTTACCCAATCCCTACATTTTTGTTTGTTCGTTGTTTGTTTTGTGGTGCTGAGCTATATCCCCAGCCCAACACGACTTGTTTGGTGGTAGGGATCAAATCCAAGGACTGGATCATGATCGAACTATATCCTCAATCCTTTCTTAATTTTGTTTTGAATAGTTCATCTCAACCAACAACCTTAAAATATTTGATTTTGTATATTATAGTGTTTCAAAGACCTATGCCCTGGGTGCTAGTACAATAAATTTTGACCTCTAAAATACAATAAACTGGATTTATTAGCTCTTTTATAATCGAAACATTAATAGTCACTTATTCCACAAGGGTCAACCTACTGTTATTCTTAGTACAACGTTATTGATTACTAAGTTTCTCAATACACTTATTTAAACCTTTGGGGCTTCGTTCATCTATTTATTCATTCCATGATATTAGTGACTGAGCACTATGGTCCAACACTCTTCTAGGTGCTCTGGGTGCTGTAGGTAATGCAGAAGACTGAGTGCTTATTCTCATGGAGGATGTTTTCCATTGGGAGAGCTGGACAACCAACAGGCTGTGATAAGAGTTGTTAGGGGAAAACAATGGACTGAGCGTGCAGGTTACGACGGGGATTCGGTGTTCAGGAAGACATCTGAGGAGGTGCCACAGGGGGTGACTGCCAAACGACCCAACCCAACCAAACAATAAGACTGGCCAACGTGAGAACCGAGGCATTAGAGCAGATGCGAGGGCCGTCCTTCGTAAGGCTGGCGTGTTGATGGGCGCGCCCTCTGGCTGGAATCCGTGAGTGAGCAGAAGAGTCGAACGAAATGAGATGGGGGATGTAGGTCACAAAGAACATTGTAAGCTCTAGAAGGAGGCGGCTGTGGGAACGCATTAGAGGGCTTGTTCAGTGAATGGCCACTCTGAATTATATTTTTTAAAAGATTATTTGTTGAGTGGAAACTAGACTATCAGGTAGCAAAGTAGAAGCACAAAGACGGGTCTTAGCCAGCCTTTGCTATCATTTAAGGGACAGATGCTGGCAGCTGGGACTGAAGCAGTGACCATGGGGATACTGAGGAGCAGACAGATTCAGGATATATATTGAAAGTAACACTCCTACAACCTGCTGCAGCATTCATGGAAGATAATGGAATTATGAAATTAGGTAGACTCCTAGGGTTACTTCCCCGAGGTGCTGGGTGACGATGGTGTGATTTGCTACAGGGGTGAAGATTACAGGAAAGGAAGATTGTTGGGAGGGGCAATGCTGTAATTTGGATCCTCAGTATTTTCCAAAGGCCTGTGTTAAAGACTTGGCTTCTAGGGCTGGGATTTAGCTCAGTGGTTTCGCCGCCTGCTGCTCAAGCTCAAGGACCCAAGTTCAATCCCCGGTACCAAAAAAAAAAGAAAAAAAAAAAAGACTTGGCTTCTAACTTGGCACTACTGGGAGGTGCTGCAACCTTTTGTGTGCGTGAGGGGTCCTAGTGAGAGGCAATCAGCTCGCCGTGCCAGGCCCTTGAAGGGGTCAAGGCAACCTCAACTCCTTCCTCTTCATCACTCTCTCTGGCATCCCAGCCATAAGGTGAAAGGCATTGCTCACTGCATGCCCCAGCCACAGTGTGCTTCCACACACTCACCCCGTGAACCGTAAGCCAAAAATAAACTATTTCTCTCTATCAGTTGATTTATATCAGGTATTTGTTGTGGCAATGAAAAGCTGACCAACAGGGGCAGGGACCATTATTTTCTTTTGGATGTTAATTTTTGAGATGCCTATTAAATTTCCAGTAGAGTTCTCAAGCAGGCAGTTAGACTTTGAGTCTGGATGTTGGGTGGCATCAAGGCTGGAGATATAATTATGGAAGGACAAAATGAGATCAAATAAAACAATACATTTAAATCAGTTTTTTATAATTAGCACTCAATATGATCTCTTGGTTCTCTTTTATGGTGGGAAGAATCTAAAGGGATTCTCATCATTTTGTTCTAAAAGTGGAGGTATATGCAGAAAGCTATTACTGTAAGGTAATCCTTTTCCAAACATTTATTTTAAGGATGGAAAATTCATCATGACAACTTCCTTTTGATGTGCTTATATGATGAGAAGAGGGGGAAAAGGAACCTTCTCTTCACTCTCAGATTCCTATTTAAGAATCTCTGAAGGAAAACTGTTCACACAGTTTCTAGAAATATTATCAACTTTACAGCATATCATCCAAGAACAAGAGTCAGAAATTCCATAAGCTAACTTAATCTTGTGAGATTTCCCAGCAGATGTCATTGATAGAGAAGTTCACTCAGAATTCCAATAAGCAGATAAATATTTGTGTGGTTTTCCATAGAAAATTCCCATTTTGTATCTTTAAAATTTCTTCTTTGCTCATCATTACAACAGTCATATCAGTGTCTGGTCCCCCATAGATTTATTATGATGACATAATAAATATACACATGATCACTTTCACTCCTTGACATTTATTAGTAAAATCTCTTAAATATTGCAGGAATGTGTACCTGGGTGACCCTACATAGCAAGCTAAAACCACCACTCTATATTTTAAAATTCCACAAGGAGTTGTGAACACATGGCATCCAGTTTTGTGTTTTAATGTTAACCAAGTGAACCTTGCCATGTTAAATTTTTATGACTATAGAAACAAGGTTTCCTCTTTCTATGCATGATTGTTAATTATAATTTGATCAGAACAACTTTGAAAATTCTCGTTGCCTCTTTCATCATTACTGCAGATAGAGTTGGAAAACTAAATAAATCTCTAATTCAGTGCGTTTATCCACTGGTATGTATGTATGTTGTTTTTGTTGTTGTTGACACTTTGGTTGTGCTTTGTATTAGTGTGGTAGTAGGAACTCCTTCCTAAATGGGTCTATTTATAATCCCTGAGGAGCACTATAAAAAGTGCAACTACTGAGACCCAAGAGAACTATTCTTGGTATCTCCCCAGCCATATGCATTTCAACCACTCATGTCATGTCATATAACAAGCTTTGAAGTTATAGAGTCTTCTGTCAGTAGTAATGCTTCTGGTAATTCACTGTTCTCTCCTCTTTTAATGCACATAACTCTTAATCTACATCAGACCCTGTGTTAGCCTTAAAAAATTCTAATGTCATACCAATTGCACTTAACAATGTTTCAAATTCTAGGAAAAGAATTCTTGTTATTACTTGACATATGTGCAACATTTAATGTCTGTTATTTAACTGCTGTTTATTGGCTCTTTGCATTTCAAATGAATTGTGACATTTTCTTTTCCATTGTCTTATTAATAATGTTCCAAACGCATTATGCAAAAATAGTCATCTTTAACAATGAAGCAACAGAAAAATTCCAATTCTTATTACACAAATGAAAGCTCAAAATGCAATTAATAGATTATCTTAATTACTTTCCCATCACTGGGACTCAATACCCAACAACCATGACTCAAAGGAGGAGAGGTTTATTTTGGCTCATGGTTTGCAGATTTCAGTACATAATTGACTGGCTCCAAGGCAAATGGCATGGCAAGGAGAATGGGTTATGGCATGGCAGCAAAGTGAAATGGAAGAGGAGCAGGAAGGGAGACAGACCCTTCCAGGCCATGCCCACAGTGACTGCCTCTTCTGTCCAGACCCCTCCTTCCAACAGTAATTCAGCTAGAAGCCCCATGATCCACTCATCTCCAAAAAGCCCCACCTCTGAGCACTTGAGGTTTGGGAGGACATCTAGACATGAACCAGAACTTAGATATATTGGGGTAAATAATTAAAATTCATTCATTTGATGCACTTTAATGTTCCAGTTATTGTGTTATTGATAGGGGAATACAAAGATGAATTTCATACACTCCCTGCCTCCCCCAAGCCTTAACAGGTAGTAGAGAGAACTGGACATGCAAAACAGTGAGCAGACCTAAGCATTTACACTAACTACGATCGTAAAATGTGGAGGCGGGGAGGAAGCATTCTCAATTCTGCCATAACAGACTCCACAGAAGAGATGTCCCTTTAAAGAAAAGTAAACCACATTGCCAGCATTATCCTCGTTCCCTTTACAGAATAGTTTTATTAAAAAAAAAAAAAAAGAACAGTTGTCTTTAACAATAACAATGTGTTTGTTTCTGTGATGCCTAACCATCTTTTGAAATACAAAAATTTGAACAACTTGTTTTTCAGTTCACCAGGATGCAGCCCTGAAATCGTTTGGTTGATAATAAAAATACACACACGATTTAGATATAACCCAGGATCCTGCCCGGAATCTTCAAAGCCTTTGAAGTTACATCTTTTTGCCTGTCCAGCCTGATGATTGTCTCTCTATAAATGAACTCAACTGTCATTTGAGTGCTGACTCATAAATATGAAGTGTGTTATACAACAACACTATATAAATACATTTTAATACATACATTATTTTTAAAATTCACTAGCTTGTATTTTGGTACCCAATGTGAATCCTACTACTTTTAGTTTCTCTGTCGGCCTAACAATTTTCATTGTAGATTTTTTTCCTTTGACTTTCCTTTTAGTGAAGAAACAGAAGAAAATAACAGGAAAATAAACAGGGTTTCTAAGAAAAATAAAGGGAGAACAGGTATAGGAACAAATGAGAGTTAATTTACCATCTTGAAATACACACAATAAATCCTGTTTATTAATCTTGGAATTAATTAAAGGATAAAATTTTCTTATTTTATAAAAATTTCAGGGTCTCCTCTCTCACCTGTCATTTACCCATCAACCTAAAGATTTGTGCTCAAACCAGTTCACTTTAAATTGCCCTTGAGAAGCTCACAGTAACTCCTCGTATTTTGAGTTTTTGGCCCTTTGATACTGGTGCCAGTATGCATAGCTTAAAAATTGTCGCTGCCTTGATTTAGGAGTCTAGAGTTTTCTTCCACCTATTTGGTCAGCCTGTCAAGATACTCTTTTTAAGGTGATCTTAGAACTTAGATGCTTTGGTGTTTGGTCTCGGGCACTTTTCTGCTCATACTTTTTGCTGGTAGTTCTCAGCTTCTTTTTGAGTCATTGATGCCTTTGAGAATCTGAACAAAGCTCTGTGTCTACTCCAGAAAAATGTGCATGGATATGTATGAAAAGGTTTTGTTGGGTTTTTTTTTTTTGCATGATTGAAGCTGCTTCACAAGGTAAGACTCATCCCCTGGCTTTATATGATTTCATGATGTAATGTGCTCCACTTGACATCGACATGCTAATTCCCAAATTTATACTTCCTGCTCAGATCTGTTTGACCCATACGCCAAACTCATCCAGATGCCTACAGGGCTCTCTCCTCTGTCTTTCAGTATCTCAACTCCAACGCGTGTAGCGTCACTTAGCATCTTCTTCTGGCCCCAGGCCTCTTCACTCTCAGTCTTTGCACGTGACTCCACTGCCATTCAGTTAGGGCCAGAAACCTCTCCTTTCATACTTTTCTCCCTGTCTATCACCAAAACTGAGAATTCCATCTTCAGAACATTTTCTCGATGCCTACTTTCTCTCTATATCAATGCCTTCTCAGGCCACGAGTCATTGTTTTCCTTGAACTACTACAGCCACCTCCTAACTGCTTTTCCTCCCTGCAGCGTTTTTCTTGCACTACATCTTCTCTGTGTCCATGCACATGAACATTCGATCATATACATTCCCTCATGGTTTCACATAATCCTTAGGAAAAAATTCACACTCTTTGGCATTTGTTCATCAGAAACTGGAAGAGTCTCCGAAGCAGAGTAGCTACTCAGGGTATTAGTCTCTTAGGGGTGTTCTATCAAAGTACAAATTCTCCTTCACTCACAATGGGATTACATCTTAATATATGATGGGGTCAAGCACCCTGAACTGGTCATAAGTTGAAAATATTCTAAGTGGAAATGCACTAAATACACTTGACCTACCAAGCATCATGCTGAGCAGCGCAGTGCAAAGTCGACCTCTGATGGTTTCCCCTTGTGGTCACACAGCTGACAGGTATGCAGGGCCACTGACACTTCTCATCATCTGGAGAGAGTTTGTACTGCACATCACTGACCCAGGAGGACATCAGAATTCAAAGTTGGAGGTACAGACTCTGTCAAATGCGTATCACTTTGATGCAGTTGTGAAGGCGAGCCTCGGTAAATCAGGGGTGTCTTTACCTCAGACTGGTGGCTTAACACAGGAGAAGTGAATTCTTGCACAGTGCTGGAGGCTGGAAGTTATGGGAGAAGGTGCTGGCAGTGTCGGGCTCACTCTGACATCTCTGGTGGAGGATGCTCTTCTACTTCTCACTCTCCAGGTGTCTTCAGCAGCCACAGGGCAGTCTTCCCTCTGTCACTCCTCTTACAAAAACACCAGTCATGTGGGGTTAAAGTGCACTCTGATGCACCCATTTTAACTTGATTACATTTGTAAGAATCCTATTTGAAAACATGGTTCTGTTCATGAATATGCATTTGGAACTTCAACCCAACTTTTGGGTCCATGGTCCAATTCACAATATTTAGTAAATAGGCCCAGGAAATGTGTTGATATTTCCGTACGTGTCTCATAGTGTTCACAGTACTCATTTAATCCTTATGATAAATCCCAGAAATACTATTCATCTCTTAACTGATAAAGAACTGGGCAGGGAGGTTAAATACTTTGTATAGGTCACATGACTAGTAAGTGACAAAATAGAGATTCTAGTCCAAATAGTAAATTTGTTGAATGAATGAATTAAACAATGATATAACTGCTCACATGACCTTATAATAAATATATGTTGAATGATGAATGAGGACTCATGAGTTTCTTTTGATGAGCATTGTAGAATAAAAATATGAATGCTATGCAAGGGCATTCGGAAGCTACTTGGTGAACCTCTGAGTCTTTTGATTCAAGGACTCCATCCCCTGCCTGTCTGCAACATCTCAATGCTATACCATACTGACCTTTTGTCTCCTTGAAGCACTGTCAATCATTCCCTACCACTTCCTCTTCTCTCTGATGCTTAATAAAACCTGCAGCCTTAATCTCTTATACTTCTCCAGCCTTTTAATTTAAGGTTCAAAATCGGTGCCGTTGATATTTGACCTTGGCTGTGCATGCCAGCGTGGCTTCCTGCTAACTCTGGGTGTTCTTCCTAACTGTAACTTGGTGCAACTGAGCTCTACCCTGGCTGTGCGGTTAGTGCCCAGCTTCTTCAAAAGAGGTTGGTGGATTCAGTTGGGCAGATCCGGAGCCAGAGGATCAGGATTTGGGTTTGGCCTATGGTCCAGGGGAAGGCATCAAGAACCCCATAGAGGGACAGACAGTAATTAAGCTTCACAGCGATGCGCCAAGAGTGGAATATAACTCTTTTGTTCAACAAATATCCTTCAAAAGAGTCTTGTAAGTCTTCGTGCTGGAGGTTCAAGATATGGAAGAAGAACAATGCAGAATCCTGAGCCACATGAAGACTCAAGAGAAGATTCTCAAAAAAGTGACTGAGAAAAATGGGGAAAAAGAAGAATTATGACATATTATGTACAGGTAAAAATTTTCTATGATGAATGTGATCTTTATGTCTGACAAATATATACTAACAAAAATTTTTAAAATAACATCCTTGAGATGGAAAATATTATACAATGGAGAAGAGATTAGTGGTATTAGGAATTAGAGAGGACAATGTGATTATAAAAGACCAACATTAGAAAAATTTTGTAATGCTAGGACTTTTTGAATCTTGACTGTGGTAGTGATTACACAAATGTATACATGTGATAAAATGAAACACACAGTGCATGTAAAACTGGTGAAATCAGAATAAAATTGGTGGATTGTATCAATGTAACAAGGGGGAAACTGAAATTACAGAGTAGGTCAGGCACATTTTGATCCGCTTCAGTTGGGCCACTTGTGTGTGTAGGGTTCATTTCCTCTGACATACACAAACTAGGAAAAAAACCCTCCTTCGACTTTTAAAATACTGATGAAACCAGTATAATGTATTTTTAAGAGCTATGTCCACCATATGCATATATTTGAACTGAAATATTCGAGATTAAAAACAAGAAAGAAATATTTGAGTTGATGCACTTTGGTGGCAAGAGAGAATTTGTAATCACGTGTCTTTATGCACATAAATAATTTTTCAAGAACATAAAAAATAAGTCAAATATAACCTAAAATGTTTCTGATCAATCAAGAGAGCTATCAAAAGTCTGAGTTTGGGACCCTCAGGAATTTTTATTCAGATGTCTTGAATTGACTATTTTGGATGTACTTACTTTTAGTTCTCATTGCTTAATTTTTCCACATCATGAAATAACAGTAAATGTTCTATACTTTTAAATAAATTGTTGTTAGTGAATATGTGCATATACCTTAGAAGTGTCAATTACTAGCGGAAGATTTACAATGAAATATAGTGGGTTTCTGCCTCATCACCTGCTCCTCCAAGGGCACTTGCCACTCTTTCAGCTATTTCAGCAAATATTTTCCCATCTGCATACTTCTAAATAAGGTGGACACTGCTGTCTTTTGGTGCATTCATTTCAGACATTGTTTCTTCTCCTTCTGTTTATGTGGATGATGATTTAGAGCTTTGTAATATTTTATCTTTCTCCTCTCTTTCAAACAGTATAATGTTTATTACTTATATTATCATATAACATTCGGATATTTTCAGAGTCACATGGAGTATAATTATTATATTTCCTCTAACTTTTATGTGTTCCTAAAGTTGTTGATTCCTTTGAAGTTTTTTTTTCAGTTATTTAATCTTCTTTTTTACCTGTGCTAATTTTCCCCTTCCTTCACAAACTCAAGGATTTTTAAAGTTTCTTTCGAATTAGTCTATGTTTGCAATCTGTAATAATTGCATTCATCATAGGGGACTGGTCCTTGCATACATATTGCATCTTTGTTACTTTTATTTCCCTCTTCCCTCCTCCCTCCTGCTATCCCCAAATCTTATTCCCATGTCCACAGTCTTCCTCCTTGTTTCCCATCATCTATCTTTTGTTTTGTTCTTTAGGTTATTTATAGTTGGGGTTTCTCATATAAGAGAAACCATACATATTTAGCCTTCTGTGTCTGACTTATTTCACTTAGCATTATGGACTCAAAGCTCAGGTGTATCCTTTTGCACAGCTGTGTAGTACTCCACTGTATATATGCATCACTGTTTCTTTATTCATCCATCTGTTGATGACCCTCTTAGCATAACTTGCCATGAGCTGAACCCTATCACAGCTTTTCTAGCAATCTATGTTATTTCTTGGAAGTGTCACTTAGAAGGATCATTCTCCTTTCGCTGCCCTGGTTGCTCCTCCTACCAATTTGTCAGCTCTTTTCCTGGCCATTCTTTTGTTTCCATTCTTGCTTTTGTTTCCCCTCTTGCTTCTTCAGTGTTGTTTCCCATTTCCTGGATCTAAGATGTTCTCTTTCTGGTTGCTCCTTCCTTTTGCTAAAAGACAGTGATGCGCCATCATAGTCTAGTCTTGTCTTACTACTCCTGTATACGAGGAGGGAGTGTTCATACTTGTCTGTCCTGGGATTTCATGAGGAAAAAAAATGGGCCTATAACAATCCTAACAGCGTCCATTTGCATCGTGCTTTACAGCTGGCAAGATATTTTCCTACACTTTTCTTTTCTGTGTGGGAATCCTGTAAAACGCAGAAGCCACAGGATAAACAGAGCACTATGTATTTCCCATATGCTATCTTACTGACAATCAAGGTGATGGAAAAGGAATGGAAATGACTGTTGCTGAAGTCTCCCCCTGTCAGCTCTCCAAATGCCAGCCAACCGCCCTGTGTGCTGGCGGGGATCCCTCTGGGGAGCCACTCCCCTTCTCTTGGGTAGGTGAGCCGGCAAATTGTGGTATATGGGCTAAATTGTGGTATACACTGCCTATGCTGAGCCTTCCAAAAATCACATTTAGTGGAATCTTTAAAAAGCATCCTCTTTTCCAGAGGGTTCAATCTGGAATATGATCTCCTTCTGCCTTTCCACTACTTGTAGCAGTAATTTTCTTTTAGTAAAAAGCTTTCAGTAATTGTATGTCCTTGGAGCAAAGTGAGAAGAGGGAAGAAATTCCACATCGCAGTGAATGACTCAAAAGGTACAAAAAATTAATAAAACAAAACCTCCAGGAAAGGCATAGAAAGTTATATACCGAGCTGCTCTTTTCTTTTTTAAAAGAATTTGACTTGACTTTTGTTGGCGATTTTGAAAAGATTAAGGGAGAAATCTTTCTTTCTGCCTTCAAGCCACTGCAACCTGGCTGTTGAACCATCTGCCAGGGTGGTGGGGAAACAGGCCTGGAACAACTGAACTCCTCCTCTGCCCCCCGAAAGTTGGACTGTTCCATCCTGCTTCTCCTAAAAGCATCAAAAGAAGAGACATTATGAGATAGAGGGCATGAAAAGTTCTTAAAGGCAGTTTGCACCCATATCTAAATGAAAAGAGATTTGTGCTACTACTAAGAAAATTCACAGGACCTTTTCACTGGAAACAGCAATTGCAATTGGAGTCCCCGGTGTCTTAACCCAGTAATTGCTGGCCCCACTGGACGTCTCGCAAGACACTGATCTACAGACAGACAGAGGCACAACCACTTCCACAGGGCTAATGCAGTGGCCAGATTCTCGTGAGGAGAAAGCACAGGGTCCCTTTGACTGTGGACTCACAATCACAAAGCTCTCTAATCCAGACTGGACATTATTTCCAAATGAGGTCACCCATACAGCTGCAGAGCCACATGGAAAGGGATGAAAGAAGTCCATTGTGTCCCTTAAAACCCTGCCGTGGCCACTAACATGTCAATGCTGAGAGCCCCAGCCAGACCCTCGGCATTTCCTACCTGTGTTACTGCAATCCTTTCCCTGGCTCCAAGTTCATGGCCCTATGGATACCTGCTCTCCAGAGAGCACCCGGTGATCTCTTCAAAATCCAAATGTTGTAACCTTGATAGTGATGATCCAATGCCATTCCCATCAAACTTAGAATGAATCCTAAGTCCGAGTACAGCCAAATCTGTACAACCCTCATAGTCTGAATTTAACTACCTCCTCTGCTTCTCTTTATCAGTTTTACTGCATTCCAAGCCGAAGGAGACCCTTGTATTTCTTGGAAATGGCAGGGATGTCTTCATCTCAGGGACTCTGTACTTGTTCCCTTTGGTTGGAAAACTCTTCCCCTTGGATGTTTACACAGCTTGCTTCCTTCGTTCATTTAGGTTTTTATTCAAAAGTAGTTTCTTCAAGTGGGTGTGATTTTTGAATAACTTATTTAAAAGACCACCTCTGTTGTTCTATCCTCGAAGGGCGCCTTAGTTTCCTTTACAGCAGATACATGTGCCGTATTTATTTTGCTTGTTTTTTGTCTTCCTTACAAGAAGATAAGCCCCATGAAGGCAGGGACTTTATTTTCTTCACTGTATTTGTTATGCTTACAACAGTGCCTGGAGCACAGTAGATATTCGAAGAATAATGGGCCAGTGAAGAAGGAGTGGGCATCGGATCCTTCTGCATCCCAGTGACTTATTTCTTGCTTATGCTTTGTAATAAAATCAATAGCCTGGAACAGAGACGCTGAGGAGAGCTGCACCATTTCCTACTCTGTCCTCCTCCTGTGTCTCATCCTGTGGCACCTCAGGGGCCTCCTGCTCAAGCCCTGGGTACTCTCGTCCTGTCCGAGCTGCCTCTCCCCAGGGGGCCCCAGGCAGCGTGGTCCCAGGGCAAGCGGGGGCTGTGCTGGACACAGGGCAGAGTGCGGTGGGAGGAGGACGAAAGCAGGACCCACTGAAGCCGCCCACTGGTCACTTGCGGCTCTTTCAATTAAAATTTGAGTTAGAAAGTTTAGCGAAATCAATAATTCAATTTCTCAGCTGCACAATTGCATTTGAAATGCTCAAGAGCCACCTGTGGTAGGGGCTTTGCTGCTAGTCACCTTGCGAATTGGATCCTTTTCATCATCACAGAACCCCCTGTGGGACCACCTTGCTCTGGACCCTCTTCCTAGACGTTAGAGCAATACGCTAGCAGCGTTGTCAAATCGGTGTGATTTATTGAAAAGCAGCCACGAGCAGCCACCAGGTTCCGGGTGCCGAAAGAGCGATCGGGAAATCAGAAACGACTGGAAGAAGTTCTTCTCCACAGAGCCTCCACCTGAGGAAAGTCCTGGGCCCACACTGCTTGCCGAGTGAAGCAAAGCAAGCTCCTGCCCCAAGGCGGTCTCACTGCCAAACGGAGCCCGGCCTCCGCAGAGTACGGAGCTCTGTCCAGGGAGAGCGACACGACCCGACCCGGGGAAATGGCAAGAAACAAGCGCAGCGTAAACTCGGCCTGGCAAGGTGTAAGTCAGAAGCGAGCGCGTCAGCTGTAGGGCCCAGCACCCCTTACGTGGCAGGAAACGGGTCTCTTGGACTAGACCAGCCGTTAGAAGAAGGTAGAAGTGATGGGAAGTGGCTCACTTCACTTCTGGAGTTTTTGCTTTTTTTAGACCAACTGAACAGAGAAAACCTAATTTGGGGTGGTGTTTGTTCAGTTTTGGGGGGGGGCGGTTAGACAAGGTCCCTCTATGTGGTTCAGGCTGGACTTGAACTCAATAGGTGGCCCAGGCTGGCCTCAAACTAGCAGTGATCCTCCTGGCTCAGCCTCCCAAGTGCTAGGATTACAGACGTGCACCACCAGTCCAGGCTCTAAACCTAATGTTCTCTAAAAGTCATATCTTTAACGTTTTACATCTCTGTGGTTAAATATTTTTTAGAATGGCTCATTTATAATTCAAAATTTCCCTAAGTATGCATTATTAAAGTTTTCTCCCTTGAATTCCTTTTCTCCAGTTCAGAATACACAGAAAATTAGGATTCAACTAACCAATCATTTTCCCATTCAAACTGAAGAAATTGTTTTGGGGGGGAAAAAAGAACTCCCTCACAAAGTTAAGGCTGAAGCCTGATTTTTCTGATTGGGTCCATTTCATCCTTGTAATTTTGTTCCAGTCTCACAAATATATCCAACATCTTTTTATAGATATTGTTTGAGAATAAACACAGGGTTTGGATCAAAGCACTTACCTGGCTTCCAAAATGGTTTCAAGTTTTCCTTCTTGCCATCACCTGTTGCTGACAGCTAAAACCTAAAAGCTCCTCCCAGAAGTTTTTGAGAAATCTGAACAAAGGAATGAATAATTTTCTCGGCACCTCTAGGATTTGGAAACCTGGTTAAGTTTATGTAATCATAATGTGAAATAGGAAGAAAAGGGGCAAAGGGGAAGGGGAAGTGAGAGGGCTAGGGGAAAGGAAAGAAGGGAATGGAATTAATATGAGAAAATGAAAAATGGAAACAAAGTCTTTGTAAATAGGGAGGGGTGGAGGGGTTGAAGGGAGGGCAGGGGAATGGGGAAAAAAATAAGAACCAAGAGAGACTATGTAAAGGTGCCAATTTCCAATGATGAATGTCATGATATTGTACACCTAAAATGGAGCAATAAAATTAACTTTTAAAAAAGATTTTTTAAAAGTTTACATAATCATTAGTTCTGTTTATGCTCTTAAATTAGTGTTAAATTGTTAACTTAATTGGTCATTTCATACAAACTTTTAATAATTGGCAGCTGTCCATCAGGAAACTATGAACCATGCTATTCGGAAAGTGTAAGGGACACAAGGTCAAATACACACACTCCCTTGAGCTCAGTGGCCAGCCCTGGAAAACACCAACCATGTTAATTGTTGTAAGTCTCCCCTGATTATCATAAATGCAATATTTCATCCAAAGATATTGCCTGCATAGACTAAATTGCCATTTATAATCTATTAGCAATTCCACATGTGCCTCCAAATGGATTTCTGCCCTTGTGTGGCTTAGATTCTGGCCTGGAACATCTATACATGCTCCAAGGAGGCACATCCAGTCCATGGTAGTGCTATGGATCCGCATTACCGTAAGAATTTGCATTAAATCCACATTCCCATTTCTACCATTGCAGTGTATTTACTCAATTTGAAAATGTTTATTTTCATAAATTTTAAACATATTTAATATGCACAGGCAATTAAATCCTTTAATATCATCTTCTAATGGGCTGGTTGTAATGAGTTTATTCTGCAGGAAAACAAATGGAAACATTATGTGACAGTTTAATTCTATTTATATGGCCTATAAGGGAGATTTATTTGAGGTGAAGAGAAATTGCCTTTGGAGAATTGGTGAATGTGTTTCATTTTCAATATAATATCAGAAAGATAATAGTAATAGTTCTATGGTGAAGATTTTTTTAGGAGATTCATGCATTTCCTGAACTGGATTCCTCTTTTCTTCATAAATTACACAGATCTGTGGAATATAATTGTTGCTGTTACCTTCTGCTGTGTATGTATTTGTATTTCCTTTCAGCCTAGATAGCAACAGAAATTGAATTGACAGCTCAGACTGCCACTTATCCTGAGCACCTGAGAAGTGACACTCAAAGAAGATATATTTCATTGTAATATTAACTCTTAACAAAAATAAAAATAAAACTTTAAACTTTAAAAATAAAAGATGGGGAATATCCTGTCATCTTAATCTGTTTAGAACTGTTGGCTAGCTAGTTTTGAAATTTTATTATAAATTTCCTGAAGTTCAATTCTAAAAATTTAACAAATCTCTGCATTTTTAAGAGTCTGATATATTGTTGAAAGAAAGCCATTAGGTCTTAGCAGAAAACACCACATCGATCTTTTTGAAGAAATAAATTTACCTTCCAGTCTACCTGATTGAATCAATTGGTCGATTTATATTTTTAAAAATTTAAAGTAGTTAATATTTTAATTAAATTAATAATTAAATTTTTAATACTTAAATCATTAATGTTTACATTATTAGTTTTGTGCCCATTAGTGAAAGGTTCCAGACTTTAAACTTGGCATATCCAGAACCTTGATTCTTTGAGGAATCCATGTTTAAGAAGTATAATGCACTTGATTCCTACTAATGTTCTCTGGTTTATCAGTCTATCAGCATTACCATTAGAAATTTATGTAACAAGATTAGTTCTAACTGTTATTCTGTCTCCGTATTACACCAGTATTTGCCAAAGCTAATCTTTCAACCATTGCTCTAGGATTCTAGTGTTATTACTCGGTTTCATAATGGAAAGAGGGCTTGGAGAAAAAAAGAATTCCAATAATTATGGAAAATATGAATAAAATAAAGGATTTCTCAGATGTAGTAATATAGAAGAATGGGTACTACCTGATAAACAGAAGATGCTTATTATAGTTCAAAGAAACGCAATGCCACGGAGAGTGTATCTAAAACTTATCTGACAATAGAACCTATCTTTTGAGCTATCCTTATTGACAGCTCTCAGAGTCAGTGCTGAGCACACAGTAGATTCTCAAGAAAAGTTTGAGTGAATGGACAAATGAACAAAGTGAGTTTGAGAAGGGCAAACTGATAAGCATGCTATTTTATGGAACTTCCCAATGGTCAGAAAGGAATTCGAATTTTTTAATTTTACTTTTTCTTAGTCCATGTTTGCAGTGCACACTGACTACTTTTACCTTGGGAATCAGTGCGAGTATTGTCCATAACACATCTTAATTCTTTTCTCATCCCTCCCTCTCCCTCCATCTCTTAGTCATCTTACCTTTTCCAGAAGATCTTTTAGATCCCTGCAGGATCCAATAGTTTCGTAAATATTTGATAAATATTTACAATTAGTACTGAAAAAAAAGAAACAAGAGATTTGGGTTTTTAATGTCTTTAAGGGTCATATGAGGACAACCCCAAGTCTCTTCAAACTTGCTCACTCATGAGCTAGTTGTCAAGGGCATCCATAGGCATCTTCACTGTTATCACAGTTGGAAGTGAGTGTGGTTAATGGTATCAAAATGAAAGTGACAATTATACCTAGTGTGTTGTGCATGGTTAATATTTTAGCTCTGCAAATATTACAGAAACACGTGATCACAAAGAGGCTGCAGGGAGGCTGCAGTCTACTCACACCTTCCATGGAAGCCTCCTTCGGAGGAGACTGGAGAGAAATCCCCTTGACTTCATATCCACATTCTGTCTGCAGAGGCAAACAGGACAGCCAGTTTCAACACCGCACATCACTGCTGTGAGGAGACCACAGAGCAGCCCCAAGTGGGCATTTCCCAGCCACCTCTGTCTTTTCAGGAAAGTGCCCTGGAGGGCCCAGGCTTCATTACGTGCCTGGCACAACACCAGCATGCCCAGCTGAGCGTAGGGCTGCTCAGCCCCCTGCCCAGTAGAGAGGAACACAAGTCTCCCATCTTCCTCCGAAGGTTTTCATTATCTCTCTTCTAATCTAAGCATTAATTCTTGGACTTCTGGGAAAACAGAGTTGTCTAATCCTAAAATCTGAAAGACAAACATCTTTGTTTTCAAATCTACTTCTGGAATTTGTGGGCTTTTGAGTATAACGTTCAGAGCAGATCTGCAATCTCCACCATGTACAAGGCCATGGCGAGTCCCACCTATTACCTGTTAGCTGAATGCAGCGAATTAGAAGGAAAACCAGGGGGGCTGCAGTGGGGCAGGGTGGGAATCTGGTACTGCAGTTAGATTTACAGGGAGTCCTTGTAAACAGGGTGCTAAAAAGTGTGTTGGATTTTTTTTTTTAACCTTTTGTGACACACAACAGAGCTGTGAAATCAGTGAATTAAATAGTTCCAGTCCCCTGGGCACACATGAGCAATAGCGTAAAAATAGACAGCACCCATTATAGCATTACTGTTATAGAGCAGATGGACAGCTTCAGTTTCAGACTTTTGTCCTTACTGCAGAATTGGGGCAGAACGGGGAAACGACTGTAAATTTTCTCAAAAGAGATGAATAGGAAAGCTGTTAACTTTTTTCTTATTAAAAGAAAGAAACCTGGAAAAATTCCAAATTACACATTTTGCAGCTCTTTGACTGCAATTCTTTAGCTTTTGCTGCACAACATCTGTAGGTGGTTAAGCATTTCCCACCCTCATTCCCCAAAATGGAATATCTCGTTCCTGACAGAGCATCCAATGCCTGCACAGACATATGTTTACCAAACCAGGTCGCCGCCATATGTGGGCTGCAGTCCCTCCAGAGCAGGCCGAATATGGGTTGATTGGCTTAGCTTGGGAGGCTCAGAAGGGAGAAGCACGCAGGAAACAGACATGGAGAAAGAAGTGGAAGATGCGGAGAGGTTGGGGGGGAGAAGAGAAAAGAGGCAGGAAAGAGAATTATTTTTCATTAAACTTTGAAAACTTAATCTCTTGCTTTTGTAGTAAATTTTGAAATTAGAAGTTTTCAAGTCACATCACAGTCATTTTTCCATTGCTCTCTGGATAATTCCCAAGAATATTGACCCTTAAGATAATGAGGGCACAAGACAGGTCAGCCATAAGACTGAGATATGTTGATTCTGTATCTAATCATCTCTGAGTTTATTTATATGATGGATGGCTGATTTATAGACTAAAACAAACACTAATGATCACTTCAGTTCAAATTTTAATTTTGGATTTAGAAAAGCTAAGGCTATTTTTAAAACTCCAAAAATGAATATCAAATGCAATTATAATCTTGCTAGATCCAAGAACTAATTTTACTGATCAAAGGGAAAAAAATATATGGTTATTTCTGCAACACCTAGATCATTGACATAATTACAAATTTTTAAATGATTCTTCAGAATAATAGAAACTTATCTTTTCATAAATGAAAACAAAAAGAGAAATATATGTTATTCTTTAAAAGTTTACTTTCTGCACATTAATTAAAATATTTTAATAAAATATCAGTGGAGCAAAGTGTTGGCCATAAATATCTTCGAAATGCTAATAAATTCATACATTAATAATCCCCTGGAGCATATAACAGTTTTATTCCAAAGAATTTTAAGAAAAATAATGTGAAGCATTCAAAAAGGACAATAGTTTGATATAATTACCTGATACGAAATGGATATGGTGAATGGTTCATTCTTGATACAGCCAAATCACGTTACTTATATTATGAAAAAAATCTGAGAGTCTGCGAAGTTTTATCCATTCTAACTTTTTTACCATTCAGAACAACTTATATTCAATGGATATGGCTGAGCTTGGAATTAGCAGAAATGATTCGTCTCGAGCAACTCCCACGTGTCCTATAAAGTTTGTTTTACCTTTACAGAAGCTTCTATTTAGTACGTTTTAGTGTCTTCCTTTTAATCTCACTTTGCAGTTGCAAGAGAAAAAAGTCAAATACTTCTCTGGTGTGTCACAGTGTTGTCATGGATACCCAAGTGTGGCCCATCACCTCCACCAGTAAGCAAACAGCTCTCAAAGAGCGCTTGGAAGAACAAACTAACCTTGCAGAGTTGTTGGGGCAGAGAGTTTTAAGCAAACAGCCTGTGGTCTTAAGATAACATATATTATTAGGAAAAAAAAATCAGGCTAATTGGCACTTTCTATATATGTTCAACGGTTTGGGAGGAATTTAAAAATCGTACAACTTCCTTTTCTACATTCATATTGCATATCAGTTGTTATATTGTTAGTAGAAATTGCTACTCCCAAGCTCAGTTCCTGTTTTTCACGCCTGTAGTAGTACTCAGAAGTCCTAATTATTTCCAAAGAGAACAATAAAATGGTCTTTGGGTTATATGGGGGGGGGGGTCTTTCAGTAGCCATTTGGTAGATTACCTTTTATATCGCAGGCTTTAATGTTATTTCAGATTTGTTATATTTTTGTTTTTCTTATTTTTTTTTGCTGTCAAAGCAAATTCTGCTATCATTTTAGACTAAAAAGTTATTTCTTCATTAGAATGGAAATAGATTTGTTTGATTATAGCAAATTAGTGTCTTATAGTGATGAAAAAATGAATGACCTTTAAATTTATATTTCCAAATATAAATTGTAAAAATACATAGATTATTCACACTGAGTTATTACTCCCGTATATTGAACTTCGCAGGAATAAAAGTCTGTCCCACCATTAATTTTCCCGACTCATGTGGCAGAGAAAGTTTTGATAATGGCAGTAAACTGTCAACATTTTTACCAGGCATAGAGAATAATGGATAATTGTATCTGTGTGCCTTTTGTGTAAAATTTTGTATAACATTCTAATTTGGAAAGTCTCTCTATGCAAATCAGTTAACATGTATTGATCTCCACTGAGTGTGTTTGTTTCATTTAAATAAATGTATCAGCAATTGGAAAAATTACCAAAAAACTTATCTAGTGAGTTCCATAAACTTTATTTAAAATAATGTATGTGGCTCAATGGATTAGGGAAAAAAAACTCTAATGCATGATAGCCAAGAATTAAAATCCGCATATTCCATTAGAATAGTATGAGTTTTGTGCAACTTTAGAAATTATTTTACTCTAAATCTCTCAGCAAAGAGTGATTAATCTGGGGGAATAGGAAAAGGCTCAGAACGCTGACAAGTGAAAACCTAGTCGAAATACAGATTCCAAATGAAAAGATATTGCAACAAATTTTTTTAAAGTGTTGCATAGCAGAACGCAGATTTGTTCCCAGCGACTGCAGATAGATTTTTCTAAATTTAATTTGTACAAAAAGCTATTACACTTCAGGCCTACATGAGAACGGCTGTAGTTCTATATAGGGGCAGCTTATTTCCATTTTCTAGACCTATGTTTTCCACTTTCTCAACTATTTTAAGAATTGTAAGTAAGCGGGGCTCTAAAATTCAAGTTCAGTGTGCAGAGAGTTAATTTAAATTTGATAACAAATGGCTCTGCTTTTGAAATGAACGTAGCCTGGCAACTTCAACTGGGAACCCTTCAGAGGGCCTCAATTATGTATGCAGCTTCTTTGGGAAATAGTATCACACATCTGACCCAAAGACCACTATGTTGTTGCCATGAAATAAAACTGTACGTAGGCATTGTTTCATTTCTGCACCCTCACGCACCGCGGGCTGCACTCGGTTCTCACATTCTGCACAGCCACGGACCCACTCGCTCACAAACTCCTTTAATGTCGGTCTGCTTCTGTTTCTCTAGTAGAGTGAAGGCATCAATATCATCCTCAGAGTTATAACGAATGGGCCCTGATTACTTTTATTTGCTATGAGAATATTCTGATGCTAACTGCCAAACTGCCGGGGTCAAAGTCAGGAGGGGGAAGCGCAAAGATAAGGAAAGGGTTAAACCTTTCACATCATTTCAATTTTTTTTTCAAAATGGCTGCTTTGTCTGTGTGCATACACCAATAGCAAATGTCCTTCTGTTATTGTACAGCCAATTTGATGTGTCAAGTATTCATATGCTAATAACAGTACAGTTTCTCACTTTTTCACAGATAAATGGTAAAGATTGTTACAGACAGTGAAACACAAGAATAAACAGCTTTTATTTCAGACGCGATAAATTACTTTCCATTCAAATAACATGCGACACACGCTGCTGACCATTTTGTTTCTATTCACTGTTAGTTTGCCTTCTGGGTGTGTTTTTTTAGAATAGTTTGAAAATATTTAACAGATATGGACAGAGTTGTTACTAATGACTTGATTGCATTAATTTGCTTTCTAGTCATTTCATCCCTCAAAGTTCATTTTTATGCTCAGTTATTACAGTGGGAGAAAGTTTGATGGAAAATCTGACAGTATTTCCCTAACATCGTAAAATCAGGTCTTTTAAAGCTTGGTAATGACAGTATTTGAAGAATGGATATCTTCCTTTCCAGGTTGGCAGAAATGCCAGTTAGTAAACAAAATCCTTCGCTAAGAAAAGTCACCTAAAAGGGGACATTTGAATGAAATTTAAGCTGTGTCAAAACAACTTGGAATCACATTGGTTTTCTAAATCATAAATATCTTTTTTAAAAGGCTGAGTTGTTTAAATATACACCATTAAAACATGGGTTTATTGCCGGGACAGACAAATTCATGCAGAGGCAGGGGTGAAGGTGGGCAGTGGAAGTGGAGTTGGAGAAATAATTAACCAGTTCTTAAAGAAGTATTTTTTTTAAAAAAAAAAAAGTACCCACAAACGTGCATTGATGACAGAGTTGTACAGGAAAAGGAACGCTTTTTTTTTCATGAATTTTACAAAATGTGCTTATATACTCTAGTTTTTCCTTCCAGGAACAAGAATTAAAACAACATAAACAAAGTTGATGATTCACGTCTTAAATTCACTTTATTGTGCATACATCTTTTGTCTGAACATTACATATGACCATTTTGTTAATTTATATTTGATTCTCTATAATTGTTACATATGCTTGAGTTAATTATTTGTATTCATGGGAAGCATACAAAATAAAAAGATACACATGAAGAAAAGTAGCTCAGTTCATTGTGGGTTAGAAGATGATGAGAGCTTTTAAAAGTAGATCAGACAAAACTTTCCCCCACCCCCGAGTTGCTCAAACTTAAGGAGAGGGAGGGAGGGAGAGAGAGAGAAAGAAAGAGAGAGAGTATCAACTTAAAAATATTTAGAAGCACACCCGGATGACGTGGAAGTCTGCCTTGAGACATTAAAGATTCCAAAGCTAACTATGACATCAGGTCATGGAGACTGCAGCTTCCTAATGGTGTCATCAGCAGATTGTAAATTTTTACATAATTCTAGTACAAAAGCTAGTCATTTAAAAGCAGTCCTATAATCTCAGGCCTTTTCTTTGAACTCCAAAATACCCAGGATAACTATTATATCAATGAGGAATAATGCATGCAAGTGACCAATTTTATATCAAACATAGACAATCAAGAGATTTTTCCACTATCAGGCTACACAAGTAAGCTAATAAAACTTGTCCCCCTCTTTTTTCCATTCTCATGCCATTATTAAACCTATAATTAATAGAATCAGCTTGAAACACCTACTTTCAGTCCTGGCTTTTATACGTGTTAACCTTTTTTTTTTTTCCTACAGGAAGAGTAGGTAATGGCAAATGAAATGCTAATTTTTACTTTATGGGACACCCATCAAAAAGTGACTGTAAGCTAATTTATCAAAATTGAAATAAAGTAGGACACTAGTAACTATTTCAAGAATTAATTTAAAATACGATATACACCTCACATACTGCATTACTCAGATTGTGTTACTAATTTAAATGTTTCTTAACTAATTATGAAGACTAAATGGAGAACTTCCTCCCCATCGTGTCTTTGCTTCCCCCATCCAGTCTCTCTATCTGGGTAAATACAATTGGGCCTCAGATGGGGCTCGGCATCTTTGTTTTCTCCCTTTTAATCTCATCCTTAGTGTGACTGGCACCTTGGGCTCAGACCTGGGAGGACGCAGCAGTGACTTTACTGCCACTGCCCGTTTTGGTGTCACTCCCATCACTTCACCCTTGAGCCCCCATTTTTGTTTGCTTTAGGAACTGCCTTGGTTTAAATCACTCAGATGTTACACAGGGACACAAATATAGAGTGGACACACAGGCCCTGTCCTGAATGTGTTGGCTGCGTGTAATATTGGCTCTTTCTTGCCACACTTACACCCAGGACTCCAGGCCAGTTGATTGGAGTTAAGGCACTTCCTTACCTTCTACCCTCCCTCAGGACAGCTTAATTAGAACTGAAGTTTCAATTAAAAATAAACAGAATGGATCCCAAACACCAGGGAGCTACCAATAGGCTAAAGGAAAGAAGGGCTGGAAACAAGCTTTTTTGACTCTTCAGTTCAAAAGTTAACAGATTTTAGGTATATGTAATAAAACACTCTGAAATTCACACTGATTAACTTAATTTGAGGCAAGAATTGTGGTTTTCTTTTTCAAGAAGTATGAGAATTATGTGTTTAGTATTTTCAAGTGACGTATGCACAGTTTTTCTAATTCATTTCCACTCTGCCAAAAGTTTCCAGCCTGATCTTTAAAAGGAAAAATACTACACAGAAAGGTGAACAAAATAGGAAAGGGTATTTAATGGGGCATACAAGGTGGCTGAGATTCCCAGTTCCACCAGTGGAGTTTTGTTCAAGAACTGGGGATGTTCTCTACCTTGAATCACTTGCCTCTGTCCACAGCTACCAGCTAGACGAGAGGAGGCGACTCTCTAACTCCTCTGCTTGTAATCAAATCAACCTTGAAGTGTTTTATGATATTTTGGAATAAATGATACCCTACCCCATGTATAATGTAGGTTATTACATATACAGGAGAAGTGCAGACTTACGGCAATGATCGACATAAATCTTGTGGGGAATCTTACATCTAGCCTTAAATGTCTGCATATTT